TCGCTGAGTGACGAATCCCAGCTGCTCTAAAGACTCGTTGTTTTTAGATGTGGCGGTACCTTTTTGGAAGTACTTTATATTTTTTTTTTTTTGCGTGGAGGAGAGCATTTATGTTTCCTGAGTGTACGTTTGCTTTGAACGTCTAATTAGTCTGGTGTGTGTGTGAATTTATAGTTACAATTTTGTTTCCAACTAACTGCAAATACAAACCGAGACGAAATTTTTAGTGTTCGTGTGAGTAGTTTATTTTTATCTCTAACAAAGCAATCATATCCCAAATTAAAAAAAACACAAACAAAAAACGTTAATCTGTTGGTGGGTTTTACGGAGTCAGACAGTATTTTAAAGTGTGCCTTCTACGCAGTTAGACAGTATTTTAAGGCAATTACCTTTTAGAACTTTGAAAGTGTGACGGTCCAAACGTTAGAGCAAGTCCAAAACGCCACACAAAGAATTGATGTGAACTTATCACGGTGGCTAAAACACCGATTTCTGAAAGCCGACCACACAGAATCAGCTCCTTGGTGATGTGAGCAATTTTACGCGGTGTCGCTTTATCGCTGACGTGCTCTTTGGTGGCAAGATGGCGACAAGATGGTGACGTCCTAGTCTGAGCAGAAAGGGTGACTAACCAGGTATATTTCACCTGCCCGCGAACAGTATCTGTATCTATGAAATGAAAGTGAAATGAACCCCTAAAGGGTGTGTGTTTTAATCCTCAATTAATATCAATATGGAAACATTGAAAGCATAAGTGTGTCTCGAATCTAATAAGAATTACTCCACTCACTGTCTCCCTACAAATATATTGATAAAAAAAAAACGCATAAAAAAAACTCAAATTAACATAGAAAAAGCTTCACGTCAAATCTTGTTTGCACAGCTTTTGTGTAACCCTCAACGTTCCCCACTTATGCAATCTCCCACTATTATGGTAACACTGACGCATGAGGCCAAGTGCTCCATGCTTTTGAGATTAAACTGTATGCCCGCCTTTTTAGACTCTTTCGGTATTTTTTTCTCTCTTTCACTCAGCGGCAAGTTGAAAGCTGCGAATAGGAAACGCAGCAATATTAATGGAAGCTGCAGGAACAGTATTAGCGACACGTACGAAGATATCCAATAACAGAGTAGTAAGGTGTGTTTTATCGTTTTTATTATGTTCCTATCGTTCAATGTGTCTCCGAAATTCGCTTAAAATAAAAAAAAAAGACACCCGTCCTAAATAAAGCTATGCCCTCAGCCTCAATCTCCCCCCCCCCCCCCCCCCAAAAAAAAAAAAAAAAAATGAAGACAATAGTAAAGGTTGAAAAGAGAAAAAAAAACTTAAAAAACGTCGCTAAATTTGGGATAACAAAAAACTCACTTCTTAATTTAGGCAGGCGATAGAGACCGCCTTTTTGTTTGTTTCCTTCTTCTTTATATACACCGAAACATTTCAATACGAAATTTAAAAGAAAAAAAAAATCTAGAGCACAAACTGGTCGATTGTAGAACTAACTACCAGCCTAGTCGGGGTTGCGGGGGTCAAATTGGACGGAGCGCCATTTCTGAAGCGAATGCTGTGTCATTTCATGTTATTTTTTATTTATTTTTTTAGTCTGTGTCTCTATTACCGGCTGGCTCGCGTAGTAAAGTGCGAGCCGTGTGATACCATTAGCCGTGTTCGTATTACATATCCTCTTTTTTATCTGTTTTTTCTTTTATGGTTCTATGAATACCTTTCGTTTCACTCAAATTCAGCCAGCACTCAGCATACAAATGAAAAAAAAAAAAGGTACATTTACAAAGAACTTGGGGGGAAAATCGGGGTGTGCCATGTCCTTATTATAGTATTATTTACTTTCGATTTCGACATTCTGTAAATCTTTGGGGGGCTTTTGGACAGAACTCGAATTTTTCCGTTTTCAAGTTGTGCTCAGAATAGGTTTAGGGGGAATATAAAAAGGGGGGGGGGGGGTTATCTCCCTACCCTGGCATTGTGTCTTCGCCCACCTAATATTTCTAATTTGTTGTATTTTCGCGTAGGTATTTGGCACAATTTGTCTAGCAAAAAGTAACGAAGTTTATACTTCTGCGTGTAAGAAACGTCGAGTGTACAAATAAAAGAAAGAATTCAAGACAAGTTCTCTACATACATATAACACAGAAGAAGAAAAAATTAGAATTTGCGTTTTTTGATACCGCGAATTCAATTCACACGTAGCTTATCATTTCTACGCTACACGCGCAAAAACAAAACAAAGAATCTGACAAAAGAAGTTTGCCGTATTCTGAAATATGAACAATGCTCTCCCAGGGCTTCGCGACTGCGAATCTGTGACTTGTTCGACGACGAAACTGTGACTACATTTAGTGTGTAGGCCTTGAGTTAAAGACGAATGCCACTCTATAGAATTAATAAAATTGGCCGGTTTTAAATACCGGCGGTAGAATCACATCGCGGCAGCACTTACGCGAGCGCTATACGATCACAAGTTGTGGAGCAAAAATCGGGACTAGCCGTCACACAGGGGCAAATAAGGAAGGAAAAAAAAAAAAGGAGTTGGATATAAGATTCTGGAATCTTTGTAACAGGCACTCCGCTAAAAAAGCGACCAAAAAAACACACACATCTCGTGCACATCAATCCCATCCATTCCTTCGCGCAAAGTCAGTAAAGTCAGTCAGGCAGCAGTGCATGCGAAGAGACAATGCCGATACTTAGAAATGCGTTGTGGCAAAACCACGATAAAACGAACATTTTGGTCTTAACTCTCACTTCTTTCTTGTTTTTGATTTTCTAAATATACAAATGATTCCCCTAACAGAGTCTTAGAAAAAAAAAAGAGCCGTTAGACGTTTGTGACCTTCGCTCGCTCTTTTCTTTTCGTTAGCTATTTTCCTTTACGAAACTTCGGAAACTACGTTTGAAAATTTTTGTTGGTTTCATTCCCGAATTAAAAATAGAATTAAAGACTGAAAGGTGTGATAACTCAGCATGTGTAAATACGCTGTGTCAAAAAAAAAATGCAACGTACGAACTTTTCTAGACTATATAATATAAAAGCATGTTAACAGTAGAGCAATGTCGCTACTTCTACACTGTTCTCGCCGCTATAACCTGATTCCTTTAACCGGGTGTAAACACTGACTCTATAAAATAAAACAGTTAAACGTCTGTTTAATGGTCATCAGTCGGTAAGAAAGAATCTGCTGCGTTCGCCTCGCTTATACACAATACTTCAGGACTAGCCTTTTTTTTTTCCTTTCCACTGCGATATTGCACGTTCCATTTCATTTTGATTACGGGTCTGTACCACACCACGCGAGGGCTATAAGCGCTTCTTCATTTTGATTATAAGCCCCCGTACATATTGCGCTCTCTTCACAGCCAGATGGCTCGACAAAAAAGTTTTGATTGTTACTCGTCGTTCAGTTTTGATGTCTTCGCTCAAAGATGTCTACAAACTTTCGCCGTCGATGTCTCAAAAACGGCGTTCGTTTTAACAGTCAAACATTTTGATTTTCCGTTCCTAGCTCGTATCGCACTCGTTTAGACTTTTCTTCTTCGTCGTGTCGTGTTTGTTTTGATGTAAACAACGGGAAATTGGTTGCAACAACTCTCACAAGTTGAAGAGGAAAGTTTTCGGTCACTTTCAAAGAAACTTGTCCGTCGGTGCAACTTGAATCCACATGCCAATCTTTTGGATAACGATCATGCCTAAATGTATATTCGTTACTTTTTTGTGATCGCCTTTTGTGATGTTTTTTTAAAAATAATAAATCAGCACAGCCTATCGCAGCTTTCAGCCCTTTTGCACCAATGTAGATTTCTAGATACATCAATTTGAAAGATGAGCTAGACGCTACAGGACCGGCGGACAAGCTTGCTGAAAGTCACGGAATCAAAAGTTTAACCTGAGGTTGAGTAGCACTCGACGCCAACGCTGCACAAAGCCGCGGCGCAAAAGCACCACGCCTCAACCTCCTACTCTCGTGGAATCATGCAGCACAGCAACGCAGCCTCAAGCTCGACGTCTGAACCAGCGTCCAAGCAACACACCGAACAGACACAACTGACCTTGATCGTGGAGCGTTCGCAAACCCATTTCCCGCAACAAACAACGAAGACGGCGAGACGATTTATCCTGTAGCTGCCGTTGAAAACGGCCGATGATGCCGATGCTCGAAGACGACGACGTTGACGGCCACACGAGGGAACCTCTCGATCCCCGACGACCTCCGAGGAGCCTTTGTGTGCACTGGTCGGCGGCCATTCACACGCTGATTGTACTTTTTGTCGAGACGCTGCGACGACGAATGCTGGGCTGGGATTCGAGCGACGGCGGCGTTCAGCGCCATCTGGGGTGCCTGGAACACGGGCGGACGGACCGCAAGGGCGAGAGATTGCGGCCCGCCGGCCCGGGTTCGGACGAGCTGCGCCCCGGGCGGGAACACCTCGACGTCCCGTCCGCCCTGTGTTGTAGTATAGCTTGCATCCCGATCGGGCGTTCGGGGCGACGAGGTGTGACCCACGGTCGAGCGCGCGCGGCTTCTTGGAAACTGGCCCGACTGTTCCCGGGGAAAAGATCAGCGCTAGCACGCACACGGAACACACGAAGAAACGGGAGAGTCACACTGCTGCGGGCGTGTCCCTCGTTTTGATATGGTGTGGCGACTCTTCCAGCGGGTGGCTGGAGGGTCCGTGCCTGCCAGGACTTTTTCGTCGTCTTGTTCGCTTTCTTGTGACGCGGAGAGCTACGAGGTCCGTCGGACGAGAAAAGAATTGCACGTATCGGAGGAAGGGCAAGTGGAAGAAAGAGCGACTCGATGTCGGCCGCGGTGACCCGTCTTGGTCCCCGCGCGACGAGGTCTTCTCGCTGTAGTTCTCGTTTCTGCCGACGTGTGGTTTGGTTCGTTTGCGGGTCTGTCTGCCGCTACACGGTATACTTTGAAGGACTTGCCGCCGACGGACGCCCCTCCGTGGATGGCTGCGACTCCTTGTGCCCACCGTGAGCTTGGTTCCGCCGGAGGAGGCGACGACAAGGGCTTCGGGGTTGGCCGCGTGGCGCGAACTCAGGCGGGTGTTAGCGTGAACGCGACTGTCATGGGCTGTGACACCTTCTGGCAGACCGGCAGGTAGACGAGCGACGGCACGAAGGTGTCGTTCTTGGCGTCCTTGGACTCCGGCTGCTCGATGAGGAACGGCTGCATAATGAACGTCCCGGCCGTCGGCGGACTCTGAGGCATGGCGTACGTCATGGGGAGCTGCCCGCCGCCTTTGGTCGGCGTGGGGGTCCTGGTGGGCTTACTGCCGTCTTCGTCCACCGGCCCGGCGGGCGTGCCGTCTGGCTGGCTGCCCAAGGACTTGTCCTCGGAGGCATCCTCCTGGTGCTGCTTCATGATATGTATCTTGAGGATGTTCCAGGCTCTCGTGGCGAAGCCGCAGATGCGGCAGCGGAAAGGCCGGCCGCTCTTGTGGGGCCTCTTGGCGTCATGCGCCGTGTAAATGTGGGCCAGACAGAGTTCCCGCGAGCGGAACTTGCGGTTGCACTTGCTGCACCGGTAGCACTTGACCTTGCTCGGCGGCTGCGGCTGCGAACAGGACGACTTGGCCGGGTCTGCAGAGGACAGGTCTTGCGGTAGGTCCTGCGTCTTGGGTGGCCTGGCCGCGGAGGCGGCCGAGAGCCCCGCCGCCCGGTGGTTGAGCAGGTGGCGCTGGAGGGAGTGGTTGTAGCGGTAGGCGCGGTGGCAGATGCGGCAGACGAAGCGCTTCTCCCCTTCCAGGTTGACTCCCGTGTGCCTCTTTTCGTGCGCGTAGAGGTTGGAAAGCCATCGCGTAGAATAGACGCAGTAGGAGCAGTGGTAAATGCGGGTGCTGCCGCCACCGCCACCGGACACGCCCGGCCGCTTGAAGACGTGGGCGGCCCGGTCGGCCGGGTGCGCCGCGGCGCCGTTCAGCTTCACCGGGTCCTGAGCCAGCGCAACCAGTGGGTCTGAGGCGGCCGCCGTGGGCGAGGTGTTCATCAGGCCCAGCTCCTCGGTCGTGGTGCGGTGGTCTTTGATGAGGTGAATCTGAAGGGCCACCTTGTCCGGAAACCCCTGGCCGCAGATGATGCACAGCTTGACCGCTCCGGGAGGAACCGTGTCCATGCGGCTGTACACGTTCTCCTTGAGCATGTCGCTGTGGTCATTCACCATGTGCGTCTTGAGCCACTTGATGCTCTTGAAGCGCCGGTCGCAAAGCGGGCACACCTCTGTGTAGTGGTTGAAGCTCCGGCTGTTCGCATCGCCCACCTCACCCGGCTGGTAGAGGACCAGTTCATTGCCCTTCTCGCCGCTCGCCGAGCTGTGGTTGGAGTTCTCTTTGGCTGGATCTTCGAGGATGCCGTGCGTGTTCTGCTTGTGCACTTTGAGGAAGTACTTGCTGCACAGCTCCTTCTGGCAGATCTCGCACGTCACGCCGCCGATGATGCTGTTGCGGGCGGCGTCTGCCGGGTGTTCATCCAGGTTGATGCCGTGCATCTTGAGCATGTGAGTCTTCATAAAGTACTTGTTGCACAGTTCCTTGTTGCAGATGTTGCAATAGTTCCGGCCCGTCACTTGGCTCCTGCCCCTCTCGGGAACCGGAACCAACGGCAGCGGCATGGAAGACAGTGGTGGCGGCGGCAATGCCAGGAGCGGTCCGTTCGCCCTGGCAGGCGGGACTTTGGGAGGCTGGGCGTCGTCCTTCTTGGGCGCCATCGGGGAATCCAACTCCATGCTGATGCCGTGGATATTCTGTTTGTGGGTCTTGAGGAAGTACTTGCTGCAGAACTCTTTCTGGCAGATCTCACAAAATGCCTCAGAGTCGAAGACAGGAGACGGAAAAGCGATGGATGAAAACGGTGGCGGAGGTAGCTCCATCGGTGTCCTGTGCTGCGAGCTGGAAGATCCGTCACCGGCGGCCATGCTGCTGCCGTCCTCGTTAAGCAGCACGCCATGCTCGTTCATCATGTGGGCGCGGAGAAAGTATTTGTTGTCGAATTCAGCGCGGCACACGCTACAGCCGACCTTGTTCTCGTTGGCGATGGAGGCAGTCAGGTCCCGGATCATGCTCTGCAGCTTCTGCAGGTCCTGGCTGGCAGCGTCATCCGTATGGCAGGAAGAGGCGCCGCCGTCGGGCTGCCGGCCCATCCTCAAGGCATCGGCACCGTCCCGCGGCGCCCCGTCCCTGCTCTGTGCCGCGGCCTGATTGGGCCCTCCGCTGGGCGAGGACGGCTTGGACTCGTCGTCCTCTTCCTTCACGTACGGAACGTTGTGGGTGTAGAACTTGTGCATCTTCAGCAGGTACTGGCTGGAGAAAGGCCTGTTGCAGATCTCGCAGGTCAGGTCCGCTGTCGGTTCGAAATCGCTGGCGAAGGTGGACCTGAGCAGTGCGGATTCCGGACTGGTCCCGCCTCCCGCTGTTCTTGAGGGAGCCGTCAAGTTCTCTGGCGCATCCTGGGGGCCGGTCAAGCCAGCCGGCGTGGCCATGGACGCCACCGGCGGCATGAGGGCCAACGGCCCACCGGCCTGTGGTGGGCCCAGACCCGGGGGCCTGAGCGGTGAGTCCACCATCTGAATGCCGTGCTTGTTCTGCTTGTGGGTGCGGAGGAAGTATTTGTTGCAGAACTCCTTGCAGCAAATCTCACAGAAGGCCTCCGCGTTGATGACCCCCATCTCCCGAAGCTTCTCCGGCGTGAACACGGTGGTGGAGCCGCTTTCTGTGCTCGACGAAGAGTTCTGGTTGAAGAACGCCGGGAGCGACTTCGGGTCGCCGCTCACGGAAGAGCTGACGATCGGCGAGTGGCTGGAAGCCGACGTCACCAGCGTCCCCGTGGGCGGCGTCAGGCTGGGCATGCTGAATCTTCCATTCACACCCGGGTAGATGCTGGCGAAGTCCATTCGGAACGGGTCTGCCGGGTGCGGCGGCTGTTGCTGCTGCTGCGGCTCCTGAGACGCGGGGTTGCCGTTCTTTTCCGCCACGCTGGTGGCTACTGCCGACGCCGCTGCCGTGGACACTGCCAGTTCCTGGCCTGTGACGCCGGTCGGAGATGAGCTTGTCTTGCGGTCGCTGGAGCTGTCCGCCGAGTTTGAATTCTGCTGCGACGGGTCAACGATACCGTGTATCTTCTGCTTGTGCTTCTTGAGGAAGTACTTGTTGCAGAACTCTTTCTGGCAGATCTCACAGAAGGACTCCATGTTGATGATGCCCTGCCGAGCGCCGAGGCTGGGATCGGACATGGGCGCCTGCAGCATCGGGTGCATGGGCAACGGGCTGCTCAGGCCAGGCGAGAAGAACCCCGGGGCGTACGGAGAACTTACCAAGGACTCGACGGAATAGATGCCGTGTTTGTTAGCCTTGTGAGTCTTTAGGAAGTACTTGTTGCAAAACTCCTTGTTGCACAGCTCACAGAACGCCTCCGGGTTGAAGATGCGCATGTTCCCGGCGGGTCCCGAGCTGCCGTTGGGCATCGGAGTGGACGGGTTCTGTCCCTGCTGCAGCATCGGAAAAAGAAACGGCGCCATCGGGTTGGGGAACATGCTGAGCGAGACGGGCATGGACCCTGGCTTCACTTCGTTGCCACTCTGCGAGATGGGAATCAGCGGAGGCATGGCCGGAAAAGGGAACGGGTGGTTCTTGGCGAACTCCGCCGGGCTGGTGGTCGGCTTGCGGTCCAGGAACGGCGGAGGATTCTGTAAGTCCATCGGCGTTTTGGCGCCGCCGTTGTCGCCGCCCATATGGCTCACGTACGCTCGGTTGTAACTGGCCTGCTGCTGGAGCTGTTTCTCGAGCAACTTCTGCACGTGCTCTTCCTCTATGTGAAGCCGGAGCTGGTCGTCGCCCGCAAACACAGCGTTGCAGTGATGACAACGTAGCCCGCTGCAGTCATCGCCGTCGCCATTCGCCTCATCTCTCCGTCTTCGCTTGCTCTCCAGGTTCAGCACCCCGGTATCCACCGCGTCATCCTGCGGGGAACTGGGCGCCAGAGACGTCTCTTCGGGGCAGCCGTCTTCGTCGGACGGCGCCGCACCCGCGTCCATCGCCGCGGCGGCGAGGTCTTCCAGACCTTCAGGTAGCGCCACGGGGGACGTGTGGTAGCGCACGGGGTTGCTCTGTTTCCGTCGCTTCTTGGCCCGCGGCTCGTCGCCGCTCGCACGACTCAGGTCGGCCTGGTAGGCGAGCGGTTCCTCGTCTCCCGACCCGCACCCGAGGGCGTCGCCGACGTGGGAGGCCGACGTCGGCGGCGTGGACAGGTCCCTGGGCGACGACGCCGCCGTGGGCGGGTCGGCCGCGTAGCAGTCGAGGTTCATGGCTGGTGTCGGGGCGCCGGTCCGCGTGTCGTCGTGTTCGTCGTGGCTGTCGTAACGCTGCGGACCCTGTTGTGGGACCTGGTGGACGTCTTGGCTGGCGGCTACATGGCAGTCACGAGTCGGTGGCCCTCCGGTCGCGCATCTTCCTTCCCCCCGCGGTTCCCGACGCTGCCTGGCGTGTTGCTCGCTCGGACCCCGCGTGTCTTGTTGTCGTTCTCGTCGGTGCAGGGGTGTCGATGCGAGCCTGGCTTTGTCTCTGTCTCGCTGGCCTGCCAGAGAAAAGAAATCGAGAGGAAAAACGTTTTAGGAAACAACGTACCATTTACTGAGTGTAAAAACAAAGTGTACACTGTCACACCCAATCGTTGGGACGATCTATACACACAGTCACCCAGCGGGATAAAACCGGGATCGACTACATCACACAAACAACGACCTGCAGACATTGTCTGAGACACCTTTCTTCTTTGTACTAAGGTCATGTTATATTGGCACTGCCTGCTGACATGCTTGGAGCAAGCATGCTATCGAACGTGCTTGACGAGTGTCCGCGGACAATTCTGTCGCCATCTCCGCGGCGAACACCGCGTATTTTATAGGATGGATGGATGATAATGCCTATACCCTTGGTAACAGGCGGTAGCTTGCGCCACCTAGCCGAGTAGGTTGCATGAGCTGTGTCGCTGCGGCTTTTGAAGGAGACGCTTTTTTTTTTTTTTTTTGCACCCTAAAAGACGATGGCGCGTCTAAAAAAGTTCACGCGTAAGCGTTCGAAGCGGCCAAATGATCCCGAAAAGCTCACTCGGCTGTATCTGGCGACAACAACCGTCAACTAAACTCACTCGTTAATACAGCGAGAAGGTCGGATGAAAAGAATATACCAGTCAACGTCGTAATGGAGTATCATACATTTGGAGAGAGATTATACACGTACGTAGTCGTGCATCCTTTTTGAAGACGCTCTTTTTTTCCTTCTTTTTTCATTTTAAGTTGGCAACAAAGCGTACGAGGTGTGTCCCTGTTACAAGTAACGTAACTTTAAACGAGCTTTTGGTGCTAGGTTTGTACATCGGTCGTCAATTTTTGTAAACCTTTTAAAAAAGAAGAAATACTACTACACCGCGCCGACTACAACGAACAGCCGCGAACCGAATACAAATATTACTGCCCGCACGTCACCGCCTTTTTAGTTAATCGTAAATTTAATTTAAGGGACAGCCTTCAAACGTGCAAACTACGTTTACATGATCCTAGCCCCGGCTCAAATACGGAATGGCATTCTCGCAATCCCCAAGGAATATCCGTTCGTTTTGTAAATATCGATACAGGATATCACGACTACACCTTCGACGCCCCGGAGTCGCGTTTTTTTGTTCGAGTCATTCACCGTTTTAAGATAAAACTGTGAGACTTTCGGGCGCGTTCTTTTGTGGTTCCTGAGTCTTATTAGCGGAAAACAAACAGCGCAAGGTTAAGGACAGAGACACACGTAGCGCTGTGTGTCTCTGTCCTTGTTTTCCGCTAATATGAATGACCAACTAGCCCAATCGTCAACACTACTGGAGTTCCTGAGTCGCGAGGATCGCTAGGCATTATTTATTTATTTATTCATATTACCCCTAAAGGCCCTCGTGAGAGGGTTTTACATAGGGGGGGGGGGGGGGGGTGTCACAGTTACACTGCAAGTTACCTTCGAGTCACAGTTACATTGCAAGAATATGGCGATGTTCGGGGACGCAGAAGGGAACGCAGTGTACTATAATGAGGTTAGTTTTACAACAAGAACGGCGCAAATGGCACAAGGCACGACGGAACACGGCATGTACGCCACTCCCGACAGCCCCGGCCAAGTCACGTGCACGCCATAATGGGATCGGCATATCAGTAGTCGAAATTAAACAAAATACATGGGCACTTTTTACGAGTAAATAAATAGACACAGCGTTAAGAGTACATACTGTGCCCGAAAGATAACCCTCAAGGTAGTAGAGGTTGCTCATATTGATACAATTATGAAATGAAACTTGGGATAAAGCTTCGCGCTCAAACATTACGAATTCTCACTTTAAATATTTGTTGTGAAATCATTTGAAGCAATTGATGGCATTAATTCTAAGTTCTTAACAAGCACTAAAGAGTATTCGTCTATAATACTACCGAAACGTTCAGAGTAACTACTTCATCATGATGGTTTACCCGGCGATTGGAAGGCGGGTAAAGTGGTGCCATTGCACAAAAGCGGTGATAAACAATGTCCCCTCAAGTTTCGACCTATATGTATGACGAGTATTTCGCGCAAAATCTCGAGCTTATTATTTCATTCTCGACTCGTCAATTCCTCGAATCTAATTAATTTTTTTACTAAAGCGCGACATGGCTTCCGGAAATCATTTTCGTGTAAAACGCAGCTACAAACTTTTACTCATGACCTCCACTAAATATCGATCAAGACGTGCTTGCTTGGATTCATGCTTTCCTCACCAACCGATCTCAATTTGTGTTCACGAATGAAACTGTCTCCACTTTAGCTCCAGTAACATCGGGGGTCACGCAGGGATCTGTACTAGGTCCCCTTCTTTTTCTTATTTTTATTAACAACTTAAATTCCTGTGCCTCATCCTCTCTGAGTTTATTAGCTGATGATTGTGTCATTTACGGTGAAGTAACTAACGACTCCGATATTTCTTACGTTCAGTCTGACCTCGATCGTGTGTCTGAGTGGTGCGACGTGTGGAGCATGAAGCTTAAAGAAATGTAAGGTAATGAGTTTCTCGACTTAACACTGACTCTTCTTCCTACTGTCTTAACAATGTATTGTTGGAACGAGTGTCATATAAGTAAAAGTATGCGTTCATATTTCATCTAATATATCTTGGGGAAACGCATACCCATTATATAACCAGTAATGCTAATCGCATGCTAGGATTCCTCCAACGTAATTTCTCATCCGTTCCCGTATGTCTTAATCTACTTATGTACAAAACCCTCGTTCGCTCTAAATTGGAATATGGATCTTCCATTTGGGACCCCGACACTGACGTATTAACTTCTGCAGTGGAGGCTGTTCAAGATAGACCTGTTCGCTACATTCTTACTATCATCGCACTGCCAGTTAACATCCATGAAATCAACTTTAGACCTGCATAACCTGGCACTGCGCCGCCAGTTCTCCCGTGTTTGTTTGTTCCATAAAACATACTGTCATAATCAAGCACTCCATGAGCGATTCCTAAGACCATCCTCCCACATCTCGTCGCGCCTGGATCACCAACACAAAATGGGTCTGCCTGTCGTTTAAAACCACAACATTTTACAACTCTTTTATTCCTAGAACAACAATTTCGTGGAATCACCTTCCATCGCCCGTGGTGCGTGTGACCGATCTAATAATCTTCAAGCGTTGCCTTCACGATGTTATTTTTAGCATTGCAGTCTCAAATTTCCTTCCTTGGCGTAGTTTTCGTTGCATTTTTTTACCTTTGCCTTTTACTCACTCCTTTCTGCAATGCCTTCGGGCATTGAGGGAATATTAAATAAGTAAATAAATAGGTGTTTACTCGTCATAGCTGGACCCATCCTGTGCGCTAATAACGTGTGAATTAGTGTGGTAGAGTATAACGTGACTGTTCGAACAAGAGGTCTTTTAAACATGACTGAAGAGCGAGCATTGATACTTAGAACACGTGCCGTTAAAAATTACAAGCTTCTCGATTTGCATTTTATTATATTTTAATTAAAAGGGCCGCGCCATTGCGTACAGGGCCGACTTGATTAAAACATTTACGCTGCGGAGTTACTTCCTGTCTTTAATGTGATATGTAGTCCTGTTTATGTTTTACGACGCACGTACGATCGTAACTGACTTGCGGTTTGAAATGTTGAAATAATTGCAACTTGAACCGAATACATTGGATAAATTCGTCCAGCCTAGAGCCGCCAAGTGAGCTACGATTCAAAGCAACGACACTCCAGCCGTCCACGGTGCTTGAAAGTCATGGTTGCCAGTAATCTAAAGCTTCGTCCAAAATCGCGAGAAACGCTTTTCCGTCATCCAAAAATGTTAAAACAGTCCGCGTCAGAGCAACACGACACATCGCCTGAGCTTCTCGACGCGCATCTGAAGCTCAGGAAGTTGCATTCTCGAATCGCGACCATCACCAATAGACACTTCTCAAAAGTCCGCGCCGTTGCGCCCGTCCGCCATTGCTTGATCACGTGCTCTGAGTTTGTATTGGACACGAGTATGACGTCAGCGTTCGGCAATGACTCGGATCCAATCGCGCGGTTCGCGGCCGAGCAATGGCGACAACCAATGTCGCTGGATGTACTTCTGAAAAAGGCGCTATTGCACCCTCTTTTCACTAAGTACCACAATGGCGGCGTGCACAATATAATCGGGGAATAGAGTGCCGATACCCCGAGAGTAGCTTTAGTCCGACCATTCACAGGAGGCGAACTACGTGTATCCGAGAAACGAGGGAGTACGAGACGCCCAACCGCTTACCGGTAATCCCAAAGCTCGATTAGTTTTGAGACGTACAAGCGGGATCAGTAAAATCAGTATCGAACGAACAGGTAGGTAGGCGTATACGCGTACGATGCGCCCGTAACCATGCGCGTCTGTGTCCGTCGATCGCGCCCCACAACTTGTCACGTGACAGCTTCGCCGCCATCACAATCAACACCGAAGAGACTGGGTGTGGTTTTCACGTTTCCGCACGTTGTTCGCAGGATAATAGCAAACATTCACTCGAAGGACCGCGAGAAAAAGGCACGTAAACTATCCAATTACAAAGCGAGTGCAAAGGTTACTAGTACCATGAACAGATCACACGCGCACTTGCTCATACATGGGCGCGGCCATCTTGTTTTTGATGCGATTGCACGCATATCTCATAAGCATCATAAGCCACGCCCTAGAATCGCACAAAGTTCGACCTCGTGACATGTAGTGAAACGTTTTGCGATTGCACGCATCATATGTATACATCTCTCAGAGG